TGACTACACCGGGCCTGGCGGCTGTAATACGGAGCTATAGTAGAGGTCAGTGATAAGTTCAATGTAACCTTTGGGAAACTAGCGCATACTCACATTACTCAACAGCCTTTAATCGAATTGAAGTGGGATGTTAGTTCTTCTCTGATATCTCAAAGGTAGAGGCAAGTTGGGACGAATTCCATACCGAGGCTCCAGACCCGAGGTAGCTCGGAAGGACTCCCACACCTATAGATAGATATGCATTAACAAGAGTGAATGATAGGTAGTGAAGGCTGGAAAATTACCGAGCGAACAAATTTCAGAGAAGCCATTTCTCAGAAGTGGTAAATGTGCTGGATATGGAAAGAAATGATACAGGGAGGGTCAACAAGTCCAGTACTTGACTCGGGGGCATCCCGGAGCTGCACTTATGGCCGCTTCGGCCACCGTACTAGCGTCATTTCATTCAACAACTTCACATAGGCACCTTATTCTCTTCAGTTGCCTGGGAATTTGGTTTCTCACAGCTCACTATGGCGAGTGCAACATCCCGTCCTCTGGAGTACCTGGAGGGACTCCCCGGGACGACTTTCTATAAGCTATACCAACAACCATCCACAGCCCTTGCGATCTTCCGGCGCATGCTGCCCGATCTGGGTACATTAAGCTCATTCATGCAGAAGGGAACGTTGTGCTAACACTGAATATAGCAAAATGCTTTGTGATGGCTCTACTCTATCTAAAAGACCCTCTTCCAACTGCTGATCTGGAAGTTTGGGTCAACGCAGAGAGCAAGAAGTGAGTGGCTTATCTGACAGGTCTGGCTCTAGCCATTACTGACAGTGTTCACACAAGGGAACGAGATAATGCGCTTTCAATATTGGGTCGACTTCACATTCTTTCTACGACCCTCACAGGTGAAAATGTCCGTGCGTACATGGTCACCAACCCGTTCGCTGCTTCGCTCCGACAAGCTCTGATGGGTGCCGAGGACTCTCATTCTTTCGGTGTATTCTCCCAAGCTCCGGAACACACCCCAACCTCGATTGCCGATTTGGATGAATATGCTAGACGACAGTGGGAAGGTGTTATGGGATACATGGTTGGAACGAGTGCCTTGATGAGTGGACAGCGTGACACGGTCAATTTGAGCAAGGGTGTCAAACAGCTTCTCCAAGCGGGACACTTAGTTGAGATCCGAGGTAACCGTGTCGATATCACCAAAGACGGGTTCGGATTTGTGCTTCAGGATGTGAATACCCAGGTCTGGCATATCTTGATTCTTTATGTCGAGAGCGCCGAGGCCATCGGCATGGATAGCGTCGAGGTTCTCTCGTTCCTATTTCTCCTGAGCAGCCTAGAACTCGGATCTTCTTACGACAAGAGCCACATGACACCCAACCAACTTCGCACTCTCGCGGATCTGGCTGATTTTGGTATTGTCTACCAGGAAGACGCCGACGCAACACGCTTTTATCCCACCCGTCTGGCAACTACACTTACATCCGACTCGAGCGCTCTGAGCAATCCTGTCACAGGATCCCTCACTGGGCCAGTGGGGCCGTCTGGTGGTTCTAGCTCCGGTTTCATCATCATCGAAACTAACTATCGGCTCTACGCCTACACCTCATCACCCCTACAAATATCTCTCATCTCCCTCTTCACAAACCTCAAATACCGCTTCCCCAATTTGGTCACTGGCAAAATCACCAGGCAGTCTGTCCGCCGAGCAATCGAGATGGGAATCACGGCCGATCAAATCATCTCTTACCTATTATCGCACGCGCACCCACAGCTGCGGAAACACAGCGCTGCTCAATCCAACGGCAAGGGTGTCCCGGCATCTGTGCTCCCGCCTACTGTGACAGATCAGATCAGATTATGGCAGTTGGAGCGGGACCGTCTCCGGGCTACGGCGGGCTTTTTGTTCAAGGATTTCACCAGCTTGACTGAATACCAGGCTCCCTGCCAGTATGCCGCGGAGATTGGCGTGCTGGTTTGGAAGTCAGATCGGAAGCGCATGTTTTTTGTCACAAGACATGAGCAGGTGGCTGCATTTTTGCGGAGTCAAAAGGTAGGCGGGAAGTAATACAGTATGCAAGGCATAAGACTTCAGTGATTATGAATTTGGAACAGTAGGAAACGGGATCTTTGGGTGTTATGGATACTGGAAAGCATGTTACGAAATCACGACACACGGCTGATATAAACTTTGTACAATAAACAATGAAAGAAGATTCTGATCAAAATGGAGCCTATCGCGCCCCCTATACACCAATCTTCTGCTTAAAAATCACCCACTCACCTCCCCCAGACCTCTTCCGATAGCTAACATAAGTATCCCCAGCAACATCATCCGGCAGGAGAACCCTAACATCCGAGACTCTTGCCTCGGCTGGCACTTTCGGTACAAGCAAATCCTCTTTCCTAGGCAGAATAGGTCCAACAGACGAATTGACGTAGACATCGCTAGCATAAAAATCCCCCTCTTCAACCTTAATAATCTCCTCCAAAACATCCGCCAAAATCGAACCATTCCACACCCCCTCTCGATGCGGCGCAGTCCTCAATGCCCTCATAGCCTGGCGCCGGATCCGCGGAACACGGCACTTAAGAGCCGTGTAGTATACAGGCGGGATGTACCCCATCTCAACGGTGAACCCACTCTTACCACAGTCTGGTGCTTGGAGGAAGTGGTTGACTGTAGATGCCTTTTCGAGGAGCTCTAGTAGAGAAGTCTCCAGAATCACGTTCATGTCGGACATCGTCTTGAAGTTCTGAAAGATGGATTTCAGGTCGTCGGGTCCGGTGGCTAGTTTAGAGAGATCTTCTTCGCTGAAGGCTGCTCTTGTCCAGCTTTTCCATATATCGACAAAGCCAGTCATTATTCTGATAAAGTTATCGGTGTATGTGTCAAATATCAGCTCTGATTCGGTTTCTTCTGGTGAGAGGCAGACTGAGGCCATTATTGTGGCCATTTCGTGGTGCAACCGTAGGAGGAGATAGCTGGTTTGGTCTCTTTCTGATATTTTGTTGGATTCGAGCCGTGCGACCGAGACGTTGTATGTTTTACGCCAGAGGGATAGGTCTGCGATGATTATGCTCTGTGTATTGAGCATTTGTTGGTCGCTAGTTGGTGTCTGGGATGCGTGGTGGTCATGGTAATGCTTTTTTAGACAGTGTATTCTGTTCAAGAGGTCGTCTAGGCTGCGTCTTGCGTCTAGAAGCGAGTTGAATGTATAGGGAAGACTGGTGGTTTGCGGGTCTTTTGTTACAAGATACACGTATAAAGGCACGGGCCCGAACATGGCTGATTGAACGCCCAATCGGACATAGGCATCGACCAGGGCGTTGTAGGCGAAGTCTTCTTCAGGAGACAAAACGGTCGGAATCATGGATGACGGAGGACGTGGCGCGGATATATCGAGGAGGAGCTTTATCCCATATTGGAGATGTGCATTCCCCACTGTATACTGCCCGCGCATGTATTCTAGGGTGATAAAGAGCATGCATGTAATCAGCGCTACTCGGAGAGAATAGCTATTGTTGGTTGTATCGGTGCGTAAATGTTGAATTGCCTTGTTATATTGCCGAAGAGTGAAACACTCTTCGTCATATTTATTTGGCGCGGCGGCGAATCGCTGTTGGAAACGATGCACAGACGACAAGGCAATGACAGCGTGACGCACGGCGGGTTCCTGCGCGCTAGCTTGAAAAATCAAGGTCTCCCAGAAGTCAGATGGGAATAAACCGGCGAACTTCTTTGCGGTTCGTTTAATCAGCCAGTCAAAGCACAGCTGTTCCTCGTGGCTGAGGTTGCCGGCTGGGACTGGTGTGCAGTAGGTTGATAGAGTTCGGTTGCTCTGTGGCTGCCCGTAAGGACTTCCACCTCCTCCCCATATGCCATAGCCGTCGCAGACCCGACTAGTTGAGACACAACGTCGGCAAGCTGGTCGGCCTTCGTCACATTTGACCCGGCGGATTCTTGATCCAGTTAAGAGAGCGCTAGAATGAGGATGGACATATACTTACTTGCAAGTCTTGCAGCCTGTTTTGGCCTTTCTACGGGCTAATGGGACACACTCGTGCATATCTACAGTCAGTTGAGGAAGGAATAAAGGAACTAATCTCAAGACTAAATGGATTTCCATATCCTTGCAACCTTGGGTGGAGCTATCTCGGAGTTAATCCTTAACTACGCCAATATATGATTGGTTCGCTCGCTTTTGAGTAGCCTTGATTGGTTGAAGTCTATATCCATTTATCATGCATCATAGCATCATAGCCATATTAAGTATAGAGCTTGATAGAGCGTCTCTATATCAATAGCATATCTTTGAATTTGTTGACGTTGATGTTTTATAGATAGCAACCCACCAGCAGGTCAACCTAGAAATCAGAAGGTTAGCTTCTCCTTGGTGTTTTGATATAGTTCAGAGTTTGAAAGTAAAAAAAGCGCCAAAATGCTTGCTTCCTCTGGTACCTCTGGTACTAATGTACTAATGTTTGGACGGCTGATCAAGGTCCTCAACACTTCTATGTAGTCCATACTCCTATACTATTACAAGGCCACATACTATCAGATTGGCCCCTGGTGTCTACCTATCAAATACGGTAACTACGCCACCTCCGCATTCTCGTAAAAATGAGGACCTCGGGGCTTCCCGAGGTCCCGGGTAAACGTCATCCTATTCCTAGGTACATTCCAGCGCAAAATAGTCCATCAACATGCATTTTGACATCGATCAGTCCCGATTAATTATGAAATCCCCATGATCGCGCCCATACACATCGCACTCCTCCCCACGGTGTTCCATCTGATCTACTGCCGCCCGACCTGTCCCGTACGCCTTGCCCGAAGAGCCAATGTTGTCTTTTACGACACAGAAGAAGTGCGATGCGATGATCACCGCGAAGAGATGTCAACCGGATAATGCGAGCTTCGTTTCTCGGAGAGAGGGGATGTTATCACAAGGGGATTAGGGCTTTTGCGGACCAAGCAAATCGATCATGATCGGAAAATGAAGCGAGGCTTGAAAAAGCCAGCACAAGAGGTTGGTGTTATGCCAAGTTATCTTTGCCGTGAGGAGAATGGGGTTTACGCTAGGAGCATACATGTGGAGGCTCAATCTTCCAACACAGTCAGATCTGGTATGGGTGACGCAGCGATGTGACTGAATGCCGGCAGTAACGGCAGGGAGAGTCCCATGGCACCTGTTGAGGATACTAAGGCAGGGTTGGCGGAGCAGCAAATGCGAAATGTGGCAGAGGTTCTAGACTTGAACTTCTTCTGGACTGGAGAAAGACTTTTGGAACGATAAATCTAACGTAATAACAGCTTCAGTCTCAGGTTAAAGTAGATGAAGGGGAAATTACAGCATCTCGTACTCCGTATACAATATTATCATGACCCCTCGCATCAAGGAACACGACAAGTGGGTCACATATAGTACGAACTGTTGATGTTGATCTTATTAAAATAAATTCCAACTATTACATTTGGCCCACTTGGCACCCCTTGGGGCCAGCCAGCCTCCAATAAATTAGGAGCAACCCCGCCAAAGAAAAAAAAACCCCAAAACACGTCACATCACGGTCCGTGTGTTTTCTTCTTCCCATATTAGATCTTCCCAATGAGGACATGTCCTCTCTCAGCAACTCCAGTCCAGGGAACTGGATCACTGGCAGTTATACAGGCGACAGTATTGGCGTCCGTATCACCATCGCAACATTCATCAGCGTCGCATGGTACAACGTGATTGAGCTAGTCGTGCTCATTTTCCTAACCTTCAAACGCTATGAAGGCGCCTATTTTTGGAGCATGCTGATAGCCAGCGTTGGAATCCTACCATATTCGGTCGGCTACCTGCTCAAATTCTTTAATCTGACGTCTGCCACTTGGGTGCCCGTCACGCTGTTAACAGTCGGTTGGTGGGCCATGGTAACCGGCCAATCATTCGTGCTGCATTCGCGCCTCCATCTGGTGATTCAGAACATGCGCGTGCTGCGTATGGTGAAAACCATGATCATCACGAACATTTTCCTGCTGCACGTGCCCACAACCGTCCTCACGTACGCGGCCAACTTCTCCAGCTCTGCAGCCTCGGTTGCCGGGTACGATGTCATGGAGAAGTTGCAGCTGACGGGCTTCTGTGTGCAGGAGGTTATCATATCTGGGTTGTACATGTGGGAAACGAATCGCATGCTGCGCTTAAATCAGGACCATGTCAGTCGTAAGACTATCCTGCAGCTGCTCGCCGTCAACGTATCTTGTATCCTGATGGATATCGCGTTGATGATTATCGAGTTTAGGAACTTCTATATCTATCAAACGACCCTCAAAGCCACACTTTACAGCATCAAGCTAAAACTCGAAATTGCGGTCCTCGGAAAACTGGTCAATATCGCTCACCAGCATATGTGGAGACCGGCGTCTTTCAACGCTGCCGGTGGGCAGTACCCATCTTTCGTTGACCCGTGCCATGCTTTGCACGATTTCAGCCATGCCGACTCTTCGGCTACCAGCTCGGCATCCAAAGGCCGTGCGTCTGGAACCGAGGCCATTGACGGCGACGTTTGATGAGCTTGCTTGTATTCATACTTCCATCAAATTCCTCCGCCATGCCAGATAGCCAACTTGAGATGAATCCCACAGCAGTGCGATAATATCCATCTGTGGGTGAAGTGATCTCACTCATCCGTCTCCAACAACGACGCACCGACCAACATTCGCTTCGCGGCTGTCGTTCAGGCTTTGGCTTCCCAGTTTAGACATCGGAAAACAGCCATTACATTGAGTCATTCCTCTGAAGTATCAAGAGCGAACAAATTGGCCGCATAGAAAGCGAATGTTCTTCGAGCATGCTAGGGTTCTCCCCAAGCAAGCCCAGAATAAACTAGTATTTATATTTCTCCGGTAGAGATAAACATATCGGAATACCATAGGCTGTGAGGCTACTTTTGAAACATGCCGAGCCTTCTGATAAGGGCTAATTTAATTTCTTCGACTCGGAAAAGTGCCCAATGAGTGTGGATGTATAGGGAGATATATCATAACATATGTAAAGCCAGTCGTCTTTCTATATGGGCGTAAGAAGGTTGCACCGCATAAATCCACAATAGATTGGTTGACCTAAAACTTTGCCGCCATAGAGTATTTGCTTTGTCAGGCGAGTATAGACAACCATAGCGCCAATGAATATAAAGCAAGGCAATTTATGGTGGATTTTGATTCTTGACTTTGGACCTTGCATTTTCTTTTACGAAATTCGTGTTTGCAGACATAACCACATGCCATCTGCAGCGAAAAAAGCCCTAAAAAAGAATGACACATCATTTTAGGCCGTGCAGTCAAATCAGCGGTATATTTCAACCAGCATCGGCATCCGGTCTTCGAGGCGAGTGATACGATAACATCTCTCGCCCAAAATTAACAACCCCAGTCAGAAAGTCTAAAATTGACATTTGTGACGCTTGCCGACCCGAGATGAAGCGCCTACAACCAACCGGCCCGGTGGTATCGGGAGTGGGGGAGACTGATAGCGGATAAAGCACACACAAGACCGTTGAGCATTTGAAAGTGAAAGTAGAAAGAGAAAAGAAAGGGTATATTTATCTATGAATCTGTATCTGTATATATAAGGATAAACCTCAAGGCCCCTTCCGCAGACCACTAACTTGATCATGCAAGTAAAGCCGGCCCTCAGTATTGACGAACCCGCCAATTCCGAAAGCGGGGATAATGCGACACATGCGCAGCAGCGACGAGCTAATCCAGTCGCGACTGACACGGTTGATCCGCTCTTTGGTCGGCATTACCTGTGGCCGGTTGTAGAGATCCAGGCCGAGGAGGTGGATTGGCGTGCTGATAAGTTGGATGGAGGCTGGGATCGCCAGCTGCGCGATCAAAATCTTGAGGTATTCTTGGGAGGCGATGGAGTCCGGAATGGAGGCCGAGACCATAGCAGGGAGACTGAAGGAGCCAAAGATTGTGAGGGCGTCCCGGACGAGGAAGGCTGAGTATGTTGCTACGGGAATTCTGGTACGGCCGATTGAGCGGGCCGTTTTAGGGGTTGAGCTTGTATTGGAGGTGGGGGTGGTAATTGGAGTCGTCCTTGGTGGGGTTGTGTTGTTTGTAACTGGTATAGAGGTGTTGCTGTGGCCGAATAATTGTGCGAATTTCACATCCTTCCAAATACCCACAGAGGAGTTGACTATGAATGTTGCAGCGAAGGTGGTCATGCCTGAGATGGCATGGTCAATCTGAGGGTACCACTTGCTCAGAATTGTCTCTGAGGTATTGGCGGTGGCAAAGGTTGCCGTGTAAAGGGACCAGACGAGGAGACTGGGTCGTGATGTTAAGAAAGTTGCAGGTTGTGTGAGGGAAAACCAGAGGTGTCTGCGGAATGCCGGGAAAAGAGGTTGGTTATAGAATGATTTCTCGACAACGAGTCTAGGTTATATTGGTTAACGTACGTACGTTGATAAGATGGAGTCTAACTTGGCTTACCTATCAAAAATCATGACTGCTGGCGTAATCAGTGTTGCTGAACCTGCAGCAACGAGTACATCGGCCGCCAGCAGTTCTGCCATCCGGCTTCTAGTGTGCTGGATACGGAATGGCATAGCCTGCTCTTGGATTTGCTGCGTCATGGTTTATGATGTATGGTAATGCTATATCATCCGTTCGTGACCGTCTGGCAGTCTTGGGTTCGTGATCTATAGACAGGACCGGGCAAGGTTTGGTAGAGCTGCAATCTAACCGGCCTGGCACTGTTAGACCGAATAAATCCAACGCGGGGCATTCCATGAGACAACTTACTGTGGGAAAACACTGATCAAGTAAACGAGTTAGGGTTGCGAGACTGCACTGGGAATGAAAGCAGGGGGAAGAAAAAAAGAGTGAACGGAAGAAGAAACCCCTCCATAGTTATATCCCCAGCACGCATTCTATAATGTAATGCCAACATCTTATCGAGAAATCAAGCATCAACATTTATAGATCGCCTGAAAAAGACAACGCCTCGGCCATCCGAACCAATCACAATGCCAACCGGGCCGGCCGCCGGTGCTGGATACGGGCCGGTGATTGGTGAGATCGCCGCGCGGTGATCGACCTTATAACTCAGGGACGAGATTCTAGAAGTTCGAGTTGTACATACTCCTTACCCCTCAAGGCATACGAGGATGTCTAGGACAACGCGTATGCTTGCCCTAAATGGTCACTGATGTATGGTCCCTCCCCGCATTGCCCCGATCTCGATATTGACTTACACTATGATATTTGATGAGTTTTTCTCTTGTTTTCACCGACTTCTGCAGAGTGGGGTTTCTGTTCGCCTTCAAAACCAGGCAGTGAAAAGAGTTCCGGCCTGTCCGTTACTATTTAGTACAGCTTCGCTAGTAAGAGTAGTAGTACATTACTAGTCGATCGTCTATAAAAGCAAATGGGAATTTCTTCATTTCCATGGCCCAATTGCAACTAGAAAAATATAGGCGAAACAGCCTGGCACTGACTGCATGAAAGCTTAACAATACCTCGAAAAAAAGGCTTCCCCGTATTTTCGATGCACGTACAGAGTACACAATCAATGTATCTGAAGAATGAAGGGTGATCAACCAATATGAGAGCTGTGTGAGATAGATGGAAGATGATGATCCAGCTATTGCCGTCAAGCCTTCTAAATAGCTTCATGTGAACAAAGATACTAAGATTTCCTCCTCTAGAAACTAGGAGAAGCATTTTAGAGAATAGCGAACGCCCAAATGTATCAGTTTCTCCAATAAATAGACATGATCGTCACAGATAAGAATTCCCGGGTGCTATGCATCGCCATATATCTTCACTTCTACATACCGTAGTCACTCTACATACCTTGGTAGGCTCTTTCACTACTTAGTGTTAATGACTATAACCGTCACATTCGATGTTGCTCGGACCATGCCCACAGATAGTATGATACACCGAATATTCTCAGTATTAAAAGCCAAGATTTTGGCATTAAAGATTGATTTCAAGTGATATTTCTGTGTGGTCTTTACTGGGCACCAATACACCAGCAGGTGGATCCAATAGGATTTCCTCGACAGTTCCACTTTGAGAATACCGACACCGGTTCGGGGTGATATGTCACTGGGTTTCTGAGCATAACTAGCCTATTTCTATTACAATATGCGTTGTATGTCGTGTAACTATCCTCTTTGGAATTTGGCATTTGTCAATGGCGAATATTTCATGATATGTCCACATGCGAACTCTGATATATACATACAACATAGAGTGACTTTAAGTCAAGAAGCCCATCTGGGGATTTATTCCGACTGTGGAGCCTGATGAACTTGTATTCAGAAAAGAAACTGAAATCATTGATATTTCTCCTAATTGCGAAGCGAAGCGAAGCAAGTATAAATCAAAAGGTCTCACGTACGTGTCACGTGACCAAGCTTTCTCAGAAATAATAGCGTTCTAATGGGCCATCATGTGATCATCAGTCGCTTCGCTCTGCAACGACTATCTCGCCGGCGATACGCAGGCCGGCGAGATCACTCGTGTTCATACTGATGCGTTCATTCCATGGACTAACTAACTCCGAACTTAACTCCGTATTTAGATAAGCCCAGAACCTTCCCCACATTAGTCACATGGCGATTGTGCCATCGCGTTCTATCAGACGCATATTCGAATCCCTAGTTTATCCCACACATCATTCTCCTTCGGTTCCTGTGTCATATCCCCAATCCCAAAGACCAAGCATAACCATGCCCCCTATAATCGTATCCAAAGGGCGCAGCCCCTCCAGGGACCCAAACGAAACCTTCACGCAAATGGCCGACACAGACCTGGAATCCCTAGGCCGGCACTGCCAATACGAGTACTGCGGCCAACTTGACTTCCTCCCCTTCCGGTGCGAATCCTGCCACAGCACATTCTGTCTAGATCACCGGACCGAAACCGCGCACCAGTGCCCTCGCGAAGGCGAATGGGCCCGTCGTCGCAACGGAAGAAGCAACACCAGCCAAGAGAACCGCACCGCCCCCGAAAAGCCATCTATCTATAACACCGACCAATGCGCCCACACCCAGTGTAAAACCCTCATTAACACCCTCAAAGACCCCGCCGTGCGCTGCCCCCAGTGCAACCACCAATACTGCCTGAAACACCGTCTTCGCGAGGAACACGAATGCGCCAAGATTACCCCGCTGGGCGCGCGCCAGACCAATGTCGCTTCACCAAACGATACAATCAAGTCTATGTTCGCGCGCGTACGCACCTGGGGCCGCGATAAGCAGCAGGCTGCCGCCAAGGGGACTCTCCTGCCGGCTCTGCCGAAGATGAAGCCCAAGCCGAATAGTCCAGCTGCGCGTGCGGTCGCTGTTAATGGGTTGAAGCGATCGGCAAAGGGGGATGCTTCGGTTCCTGTAGAGAAGAGGTTGTATTTGCATGCTGTTGGTACGGCGGAGACGCAGGCTGCGGAGCCCCCGGCTGGGGATTTCTTTTTTGATTCGAGGTGGAAGGTTGGGCGTGTGCTTGATGATGCGGCGAAGAAGTTGCGGGTTCAGAATTTTAATAATCGGGTCGATGAGGAGAATTCGAGATTGCGGATCTTCCATGTTGAGTCTGGGGAATTCCTCGAGTTCTCGGAGGCTATTGGTGCTGGTAAGGTAAAGCAAGGCGACACAATTGTGTTGCTTCGCGGCGCTGGTGCTGTTCTTGGGAGCGCATGATGCATTTCTTTTCATTTACTTGCATTCACTTGCATTTACTTGCATTCTCTGTTTAATCCTTTTGCTTTTCGAAGCATATGCCAGCTTGGTACATATAGACGCATGTTCTGATCCAACAATGCATGAGTTGATTTGCTATACATGTAGACTCGGACTTTGAGCGCATTGCTATTTTAATATACTCCCGTGGCATACATCACGGAATAATTGGTATCATACAAAACAGTGACTCGGACAGTGCCCGAAAACCAAAAATCAGAAACCTATATAAATCAAACGCTCATCTTCATTTTGATGGCCTTGTGAGGCTTGTATCCAATGACCTCAAACTCATCCTCCTTCCAGCCATCAACAACCGCGCTGCCCCGGTCATCACGTTTAATACGCAGCTCGGGGAACTCTGTTGGTTCTCGAGCAAGCTGCTCATTAAGCGCATCGACGTGGTCAAGGTAGATGTGGGCATCACCCATAGTATGAATGAGAGTCCCGGGATGAAGATCCGCAGCGTGTGCAAGGATATGAGTGAGAAGAGCATAGGACGCGATATTGAAGGGCACACCAAGACCCATATCACAAGAGCGCTGGTAGAGCAAACAGGACAAGGTACCCTTCTTCGATGGACGACCAGTCTTTTCATCGAGCTTCATGCCAGGCGGGAATGAGACGTAAAATTGGGCGAACATATGGCACGGGGGCAGGGCCATCTTGTTCAGATCAGCGGGGTTCCACGCGCTCATGATGATGCGGCGATCGAAAGGGTTGTGAATGAGCTTGTGCACAACATCTTTGAGCTGGTCGACACCCTGACCGGTGTAATCCGTCTTGGCGTCGACATATTCGGCGCCAAAGTGCCGCCACTGGAATCCATACACGGGTCCTAGATCGCCTTCTTCGCGGTGGCCGAGCCCGGATTTATCGAGGAACTCTCGACTTCCATTTCCGTCCCAAATCTTAATCCCGGCTTCGGAGAGTGGGAGTGACGAGGTGCAGCCGGAGATGAACCAGAGTAGTTCAGCGAGCACGGCGCGTAGAAAGACTCGCTTCGTGGTGAGGAGAGGCAAAATGGGAATTGGCTCGCCGCCTTCTGGGTTCGGCTTCGAGAGAGAGAAGCGCAATTGCGGTGGGGCGAAAATTGATTGCGTGCCAGTGCCGGTGCGGTCGGGCCTATGCTCGCCTTCGGAGAGGATTGCGCGTATTAAGTTGAGGTATTGGTGCTCTTCGTGCGAGGGATCATATGGCGGCGAGGATGCCGCGGGGGCTGCAGCAACTTGGTCTTGAGTCATGGCGCAGAATGAATTAGCGAGAGACGGTCTATCAGGTTTTCTCTTGATGTTTGACGGTGGACGATGGAGAGGATCTTGGAGATCGGTGGATCGCGTCGACCGCGACACGTGGTCACGTGCCGATCTCGTCTTTTATAGTGCACCAAACTTATGCAAAGGAAAGTATCCAATCAACATGCGTATCTACACGATACTTTAAGGAATACTGATATTCTTCCCTGAAGCCTCATTTCGACAAACCACTACAGATATTTCCGGCCATATTTTAGGATATATGTCTAACAATATAGTCTTGGACTAGGGGCCCGGGGGAGAGGACCGACGTCTTATTTTCAGTAAAAATTTGATGGAATCTGCTCCACGTTCAGTCAACTTGACACCTGGAATTGATACACACGCTTTTCTATGGCATAAAGTGAATACCTCATTTCTTTCTTCAAAGCACTTTTCTTTTGATCAAAATCAGTGGCTATGCAGTCATGAATCTGCCAACAGGTCCACTCCAACTCCCCGCAGAGCACCTACTACCCACTCCGGGTAATTCGATTTATCGCCTCTATAGATATCGGAGAAGAACTTGCGAAGGAAAGCCGGGTATTGGTCATCAATGATGGCCTGTCGAATTTTACCCATCATGGTCAACATATAATGGACATTATGGATGGTCAAACTGTAGAAGTATTAGAACCGAAATAAGATAATGTGGCCAGTCCACACTTACAGATGAGCGCCGACGGTCTCCTTGGCTGTGATGTGGTGCATGTATGCTCGTGTAAGCCCAAGACCACCTTGGTCAGTTGGACGACAGCAAGTGCAGGTGCAGCCCTCCTCAACTGGGCCAAAGTCATCGGCGAACGATTTATGGCTTAGTTTTAGGGTTCCGGACGAGACGATAGCATCACCGAAGCGCTAGTTGATATCAGTGCAAGAACCAAACCGGAGGGTTGATTGAGTCTTACCGCTGTCCGTGTCGGCCAAACACAGTCAAACATATCTGCACCGAGAGCAACCGCCACAACAATATCCTCGGGGTATCCCTAATTTTTGTCATTAGCTAAGGCAGAAGAACCAATTCAGTAAGACATACTACGCCCATGACGTATCTGGGTTTATGCTCGGGCAGCATTTCAGTGCATGTATGCACTCTTTGGTTGGTCAGTTCATCCGGTCTTTCTTTTTGGTGAAAGTAGAGGCACATACACTTTGCAGAACTCCTCCTTTGCCTCACCACCAGACAGACCTCCAATGGCGATTCCTGGAGTATCTCGTGCTACCATCTCTTCACAGCACTGTTTTCGTAATTCAAGATCCAGACCACCCTGGATGATACAAAAGAGGTTTTGTCGCTCGGGATATTTATGCTCCGCAATGCACCGATCTAGCCATCGCACAGAGCGGTCCATAGCCTCCTTAATACGAGCATGATCTGGCGAAGTGGTTGCAATCACATCGTCCAATTGCATGATAATATCAGATCCGATGGAATTTTGGAGAGAAATTGAGTGTTCCGGAGTCAGTAACCTGATAAAAAGTCAGTATTTCGGATGTTCAGTTACAGGGCTTACAGCGAAGCCACTTACATTGGCGAGCCGTCATGCGGGCTAAGGAATCGCACTCCTTCCTCTGTGACAGTCGCCAACTGAAGAAGTGACACCATCTGGAAACTGAATAGCAATATACCCGGTTAGTACATACTATCGATTTGCGAGGGGACGGTAGTATATCTCACCCCCCACTATCGGTCAAGAGATTGCGATCCCAGCCTTGTAGCTTATGCGCTCCGCCCACTGCATCTAATACCGCCTGACCAGGCTTCAGACCTAAGTGATATGTATTATTCAAGCAGAGCATGCACCCGGTCTCTCGCAGCTGATCATATGTTAGGCCCTTAAGAGATGCTTGTGTCGCGACGGGCATGAAGATCGGCAGAGGCACTGAGCCGTGGGGAAGGTGAAGGGTACTCGCACGGGCCTTAGTTGTCTATTTGCACCATAATATGCATTAGATATATGTTACAGTAACTAGGTTGTAAATATTTATCACAGGGACGTACCGAGCATTTGGCGTGACGATCAAACGTTAACGCGGAGGGCATCGATTTGTGGGTGGGAGCGGTGGTAGTCGACATAGTTGCGACGGATATAGATAGAGCTGAATCTGATGTTTTAGCGAGGCGCTTAGCTAGCAAACGGTGGCATAGCATGGGGAGGGGTGATTTGAGTGTTTGCGATGCGATCAGGGAACACTTTTATCTGATAAGATGTTTGTCTTGTTTGCATCCCGAGGCTCTGTTTTGATTTTATACAACACGCGCTCTATGCAAATATTTTAACTTATTTGTATGAGAAGTTCTTCAATGCGCTGATTTAACGTTGGAGATATTTTCACCTTAGTTAATACATTACATTATCAGTAAATCATATTGCTGCGACAAAACTAATCTACAAATTATTTACAAGACTATTCAATACTAAGAATACCAACGATAACTAGCCTTGCTTGTCGCTAGTTAGTTACCAATGCTTCTTGTGTTGACTCATTTTGACATCGATCCTCGACGGTCCTTGAGATCTCGATGTAGGGATCAAGGGGAAACAAGAGACGCCAATCAAATGCCACCTAAACAATATCTACGAAGCATCATTTCAGACTAAGAAACCAACGCTTCGAACATTAGATCTAGTCCCGAAATTGGATTTCCCAATACCCCAATACCGAAATACCGGTGAGGCATCGGAGGAACTGCGAGTAGCCCTAGTGCGGGGAACAACCCGGGGGACAAAAGCCCGGGGAAGCTAAATCACATGGGGAAAAAAAGAAAGCGAAAAAAAGGACTGCGGTCTTTTCTGATTTCTTTGTTCCTGAAACTTCGACTCTTCTGTGTGATTGTGGCTAAGTCCTGGAAAAATGGCAACCGAAAAATACATGCCAGATGTTGAACAAGCTTCAGAAGTATCTTTCTCCCTCCTCCCATTATGATAATAACCTACTAGTGTTATGGTATACGAGCTTGAGAGGACTGACAGTAGTGCAGCTTGCCAGCACGGAAATTGTCGACGATGCCCTCAATGCACGCGAGAAGGCCTTGGTCTGGAAACAAGATCTACGCATCGTTCCCTTGTGCGCTGCAATCTACTTGCTTTGTTATCTTGATCGCTCTAACGTTGGTATGCCTCCGGTCCCCAATATCGGATAGACTTGGAGCTAAGATATCTAGGCAATGCCAAAATTTTGAATTCGGACACTCACAATGACCTTCTCTCGGAAACTAATATGACTTCGTATCAGTACACGTGAGTCGCAAACATTGATTGACCAAGAGAATCCAAAGTGCTGACTGCAAAAGAATTGCACTCATGGTATTCCTGATTGCATATGCACTGTTTGAAGTACCATCAAATTACTTTCTGAAGAAGCTCCGTCCAAGTGTACGTCTAACCCAAACACACTATCCATTATTACAATTCCATTAACAAACACCAGCGCTGGATCGCCTTCCTCATGTTCTCCTGGGGTGCAACAACAATAGGTCTTGGTGGCGTCCACACCTATTCCCAAGTAACAGGACTCCGATTTCTCCTCGGCGTAATGGAAGCTGGCCTCTTCCCCGGCTTCGTATACTACCTTACATTCTGGTACCGCAACTCCGAGCGATCCATACGCGTAGCCTTGATTCTCGCCTCGGCAACACTAGCTGGAGCATTTGGTGGGGCTATTGCATTTGGTGTGGGCCATATGAATGGCGCTCATGGCCTTTCTGCTTGGAGATGGCTGTTTATTATTGAGGGCGCTCCATCATGCGCATCTGCTGTTGTGGTCTGGTTCGTGTTGCCGGATTACCCAGAGACTGCGAATTGGCTTACTGCTGAAGAGAAGGAGCTTGCTGCGCAGAGATTGATTTTGGAAGGATCTAAGGGTTCTGCCCATGCTATGTCTTGGGAGGATGCTAAGGCTACGCTGACGGATTGGAGATTGTACGCTCATTATGCGGTATGCTCTCTATACCTTTTCCCCTGCCAATCTGGAAGACTAATTAGATAAAAGGTGTACTTCGGCATCTCAACGCCATTCTCGAGTCTTTCTCTTTTCACGCCTGCCATCACTGCTGGACTAGGATATTCTCATCTCCGTGCTCAGCTGATGACAGTGCCTCCATATGCGGTAGCCTATGTCGTGACTATAACCGTGGCTTGGTCTGCGGACTACTTCAACAGGTAAATCGTCTTCTATATCGAGACATACCAAGTGACACTTACCTGATACTATTCATTTACAGCCGGGGTCTCCATTCAGCCATATTCTCTTTTATCGGGGCAATGGGATTCCTTGTCTCCGCAGTTCTCCCTGCTAGTGCATATCTAGTAAGTCACCCAATCATCCCAAGGGCACATCAAGCCAATGAGCGTCATAAACTAACTCAAACACTAGAGCCGCTACGGATGCCTCATAGTCGCAGCCAGCGGTGCCTTCGCCTGCATCCCACCTCTGCTAGGCTGGCTATCCTCCAATATAAACTCAACGGCCGGCGCAGGACTCGCAATCGCACTGAACGTGTCATTTGGTGCACCAGGCCAAATCGTCGGCGTCTGGATCTACAAAAGCGACGAAGCAAAGATCGGGTATCCGACCGGCCATTGGACAAATGCAGCATTGCTTCTCTTTGTAACATCTGGCTGCATTCTATTGAGGCTCTACTATGGCTGGCGCAATCGCCGTGGACACGGGGCAAGAGATGGAAAGAATTTCGCATATTAAATGTGTAAGGCTGGAGCGTTGTGGTGACTGTCGATAGGACTCAGTTCACGAGCTATAGGTGAACTGCACGCATCTGAGTCATAAAATAGATAGATAACTACCCGAGGTAATTAATTCTAATGACAAATTAGGTATGAATTCTCGATTACGGAGTACTGAGTAAAGTGCAAGATTTAGATCTGTATTGTACATGTCGGCTGAGTTTAATGTCCCGTTGCCTAGATTTTCAAATTCAAATCATATTCCAGATCCCATCAACCCTAAAATTAATGTAGTCAATAATAATCGCAGCTATTAAATCAATAAAGATACCCCACGCCCATCCTAACCCTCTAGATCTAGCCGCACCCGCCGCCACCATCTCCACCTCCACCACCTCCATCACCTCCGCCGCCACCACTTCCACCTCCATCACCTCCGTGACCTCCATGGCCTACACCTCCACTACTACCATATCCCCCATATCCACCTCCACCATCCCCACCTCTAGCAGCACCAGCAGCACCAGCATTTTGACCTGCGCGACGCTTGTTTCTCTTGTAGTCTTTGGTGTATGTGGACTGGCTGTAGGCGTCAGGGCTGTGGTATACGAGCCGCCGCGGGGGCGGTGAGTCATGCGGCTCTCTTCGCGATGAGCCGAAACACATGGTGGTATTTGGGTGGAGGGTATCTGCGTGGAATGGGACAGATAGCAGTGTGATGGTTTGGATTTCTCAGGTATTTTAGAAAGAGCTTCTTGGTTTGAGATAGGTTGGATTGACTACGATGGTGAAATAAATCATTGTATATGTAGTATTCCAATACGAGATCTTTGATTTCTGCCTAGGCTTCTACTTGCTGTCCCGTATAATTTGATCGACATAGCCACCGCCCGAGGAAGGCTGAGTACAAATATGGCAGATCGACCTTTGTCACGACTAGATCAAGCAGGAGTCTTGGCGATCACTCTTCAGAGGGTTTGTACAATGTGCATTCTAGGTGGCGATATGCAACATACCAAGCATAGCGCTAGCCCTAATTATTGAGAAAATCCATTCTTAGATTCTCTTCTTTCACCTCGAGTTCATTCGAGGCCTGCAATGAGTTGGTCAAAATAGACAATTAGAGTTGATAGTTATTAGAGTTCGACGTTCCATGGTTCAGTCCAAAGTAACTGACCAACATCTAACGTCGAGTCAGCAACGTACTGTAGAAATATATCTAGCTGCTTCGCGTCGCCAAGCGATTAATATTAATATCGGCTTTTAATGCAACTTATTTAATTCATTTTATCCAAGGACAGCATCGGCCATTTGGAATGCTGCCCAACTCGGCCGCTATGCATCGGAAATTAATGTTTGGCTAGACACATGGCCAACGCTGTGCTACCCGCGGATGTGTAAGCTCGGACGGGAGGCCAATGCGGCAAGAACCCGCGGTGATCAATAGTACCTCAAACGAGGGTAAGCATGTACAGCACCCTTTTCTAGAAAGGGGCGAGCCTGTTCCAGCCGGCGATGGGTCCATCAGTATACCTATTATTAGTAAAAGAGAAGAAGAAGAATTCACCCGTAAAGCGCTGTCGATAGATATTCCGTAGTATAATAAGAGACAAAAGAGAACAATCTGATACAAATCAAACCCCGACCATTAAAGTCCCAATATAATAGATAACCCCGGTCCAGTTCCGTGTCCAACGTCCAAAACCCGACACAGCCTAACAAGAGACAACAGATACCAAAGAAACTCCCTCTCTGAGTCGCAGACACCCGATCTGAACCAGGAAAGAAAAAACAAAAAACAAAAAACAAGGCAAACGTATCAAATAATCAGGCAGAACGTAAATCAAATCAAAATCAAACCCCAAATTCTAGACAAAGTAGATGCCCGGAAAATGAAAATTTTTGTCCCATATTAATCCTATAACTCCTCCTTGTGACCTTTTTCCAAGTAGCTTCCACCACCATATTTGCCATGTCGCAACGCGCTTGGGATTAGGCGAGTCGCTTCACATCCACAGTGGCACAGACAAACACGCATTCATCCATAGCTCCAGGGGGAAACGAAGCAGCAGGGGGTGGCATCTATTGCAAATGCAACAGGTTATTGCCATCCGAACCGCGCAGTTGGGAGTAACGATTGTAAATTGTCCCGGGTATGACGTCGAACCCGCTCGAGCAATGACAAGTCATATGTCTTCGAAGGGACAAACAGCAGTCACTTGGCACAATGCATGGGACCCTCGTCTCCCGCCTCTCGCCTCTTATCAAATGGTAATAAGCATCTAGCCCAATTCCGATCTTGTCTCAAGGCAGACGGCGCAGCAAAAGCAGAACGAATAAAGTGCGAGAGGCGACCTGTATTAACCCAAATCGGGAGAGACAGAAACAATAATTGGCCGCAGAAAAACGTATGTGGATGTTTCTTGAAATGAATACGTGTATGCACCCCCAAAAGACACGTATGTGGGGGGAGGGGCGCTGAAAAGAGCCAAAAGAGTCTGATTCGCGATGCATCACACGAGGCCTAACGGCATCCAGACACCGTATCATGTACCTGAGCCGTCGGAATCTCGGGTGTGGTGTGTCACGACTGATGCTGAGGTTTCACAAATTCGAAACAAGGTAGTGACTTGCATCTGGAAGTGGCCATCTGGGGCAGGGATGGTGCATAGTGCATTTTCCTTTTTTATTATTTGTCCATCTTTCTGATGCCGGTGATCCTCTCACCAGAGCTCATGACATGGACTCTGCATTGTAGTGAGCCATTGTGGGCAGGGCCTGCAGAAACCGGGAAGAGGTAGAGGTCGACGAGGGACAGTGCATGCTCATGCATCAGCGAGACTCGGGAAGAGAACGGTATCGACACGAGAAAGAGGTGGGAGGAGAGGAGTGCGGTGAAGGGATATGTTTTTTTCCTGCAGTCAGAAATGCAAGTAAGAGAGCAACGCGACAACAAATGTATGGGTTTGTGTGTCGGATAGGACTTGTGGATCCCCGAGGGCCCTTCACAGGTGGAAAACAAACCAGAACAAGCACCCACACAGCAAAAGATTAAGAGCAACAAGGTTCAGTATCAACGTCAGAATCAAGAACCAAAAGAATTTGATAAAAACACAAGAAGGGAAGAGAATGCCGCCCAAGACTAGTAGGAAATATTTGAGCTAAGGAACACACGGTCAGAACCCGCCAGCTCCGCGACCATAGCCGGACGACGTTGCCTGCGGGAACAGCTGACCCTGGTAGACGGTAGCAGCTCTGGGCTGCTGGTTCAGGGTCTTGAGGGCAACCTCGGCGGCGTCCTCTTTGGCATTATTGATAAACTGACCGTCATACCAGTAACGAGCGGCGATATTCTGGCCCTGAACGGTGACGGTACTGGACCAAGCAGTACGACCTCCTGCAATTCCGAGATAAAAGTAATTAGCCTTCTGCTGCTAAAGGCTTGGAAACTAAAAGTCGGTGTACAAGTGAAGGGGGGCATTTTCCTCTGTCTTTTTCTGCAAGACTCCACTCCTTCCTGCAATGCCCACACACGAGACACATAGCAGGGATAGAGGCACGCTATGTGCGTGTGTATTGAGACGGAGCGTAAGAAGGGAAATAAAATAATCAGGGTCTGCAGCATGGGAAGACGGTGGATGAAGACTGAGGGGGAGGAGGAGGATTGGAAATTGGATAAGTACCTCGCCGATCGGAGACAATGTTGAAGACAGGAGGAGATAGCTTGGTGCGTGTGCAATGATCTGGTGATGGTTTAGTCGGGCAGTCCTGTCATTTGAGGTGAAACTTGGGACTGCTGAGGCTTGACCACGCATTCCAATGGCTTACCCTGGAGCTGGTCCTGCCAGCTGGGGCGGCTGCCAGCACTATTCCCCTGGGGGCTGGTGGTATAGGACATTGTTGCTTGGTAGAAAGATAGGATAGCAGGAGAGCCGTTGGGCTTTGCAGTTGGGGTGATATGAAGTGGGATTGAAGAGTGGGGAGGATATGGGTGCGAGTGTCTGTGAATAACCCAATTGAAGATGAAGATCGAAGGAGAAACAAGAGGTGAACTTCAAGGGAAAACCACAAGAAGATATAGAAGGAACGGGCTCTTAATTGGACCCGTTTGGAATCTCTAAAGATCTTCTTAAATGTAATTTTCAATGATCTTCCCACGAGGACGACAATGGGAAGCGGAGAGTTATATAAACAGTGGGCCATATCTTCAAGGCCAGGAAAGAAAATCCCGTGGGTTTTTTTCTCTCTGTATTTTTGAAATTTATTTTAGTATTTCTTTTTTTTTGGCATCTTTTTTTTTAAAATATTTTATTTTCGAACAAACAGGAGCCTAACCGTCAAACTAACGGAGGAGGGGGTTTATGCATGTCGATGTGGACATGGCACAGCGTCAGCCAAATCCCCCCCTCCTTATCCACCAGTCAAGGAACGGCGAAGAGTATGCGGATCATTTTGAGGCTGCAACCTGGATCGGCCCGGCGCACGCCGACTAAGCAAAAAACAGCCCTTGAAGAAACGCTAGACAGCACGTAAGGGCTATAGAAGGAAGAGGGGCACGCCGGATGTTCCCAAGTTAGTTCCCGCTCTATGACAGACAGGGAGATATTAGCGAATTCTTCTAGGATTCAGAATAAATGACACCCTTTTTCGGAAGAAAGTTGGACCCGGATTGGATGGAAAAAGTGAACAACTCAGAGAACCCCACGTTGGGTTAAATTTTTGGGGGGGGATTTGCGTGCGATTTTCCTGGATTTTCCTTTTTTTTTTCATTTTTCTCATTCTTGCTTGCCTCACTTGAGCAGAAGTACTTTAGGGCAAGACGGAAACATCATAATCTCCCGAGATTAGTTTGCGCATGGACTTGAACCATATCGGCGGAACGGCGGGCTTCTGGAACAACCATGAGGGACTGCATGAGGGGGGAAAAGAGCTGTGGGTGGTCTCTGCCCAAAAAGCGGAGCCCATGGCCACAGCGTCAGTGTCATAGCTTTTATTGTTTAATTGTTTTTCGGGTCTGGGAGGATGTGGAGGATGCCCGAAATGTAGATTCAACCCCCCAAGTTGGGCCGCATTGGAAAGCGTTGCCAGCTCATCATGATGGATGAGATCATGATTGTGAGAAGTCGCATTTCACACATTGTTGACTCGGAAGGAGTTGCTGGGCACCTCGAAAGCCACAGACCGGGCCGCCCTGCATGAACAGTTGCTGTCGGGCCTAGGATCAACATGAAGAAGACAAAAAAAAGGACAATGCGAGGGAATGAGGCGAGATGGGTGGCATTTCCGGAGAAACGTCAGAAAGGCGGCAAGAGTTCGTGTGTTGCAGAGATCTCGAACAAAGATACGGCCAAGAACCCCTGGTTCATTTTCACGTTGTCGGCTAGTCCCGTCCGGTTAACCGCCTGCAGAGACCCCATCGAAGGGAATTCATCGACCGTTCATTTGTTAGTTCATTTTTTATTGTCCAGAGAGAATTCGAATATTCCAGTCGGAGCGACTGGGTGTTTTGCTTTGGAGGAGTGTTGGGCATTCATGCAGAGTCGACAATATCCTCAACCATGGTTCTCAGTAATGCGGCTAACATCGAGTATGCACGAAACACGTAGAGAAACAGCCGATGGGGTAGGGCACTAGGCCAGCACATTATTATAGGGCGGCTAAAATATTACGGATTCGAGGGGGCTTGCCCCGCACATCTTGATCGGTTGAAGTACATCCATACATGTATGCTGCGCAGTAGACTACATAAGTACCACGTACAAAATTGGTACCTACAGTAGTAGATGTCCTAAATCAGTATACGGGCATACTAAAAATACATACTGAGCCTGATATTGGCTATTTCTTGAATTTCCATAAGGCAGCAAGGCCAGGGGTATGCTCTTTGGGCTCTTAGTCGCGCTAAAAACAAAAGATTCATTCAGGGCCAATCGATCGTAAGCCCTAAACAATACTGGCATTCCTTCCTATGGCTTGCATTATGAGGAAAGTCCGGAATGAGTGTGTAGGGTGTGCATGCATATGACGAAAGAACCCATAGGTCAATGAAGCACGAGACAATATCTAGCTCGTGACTCGAACCATGGTTCGTAGAAGCTAGACCAGCTCTAGCTCAAAAATAGAACCATGGTTCAACTTGGAGCGGTCAGACTCTACGTAATACATATGTATGCAACGCCAGCATAGGAATAGACCATTGGGAAAGATGTGAGATGAAACTGTAAGCTATGTCCTCCAAGCCATGCAATGAAAAATGCACAAATCTGCAAGCCTGCTTGGTCCCTGTCAGACCCGTATTAGAGGATCGCCCGGAATTAGGCTGCTCGAATCCGTATGCCGTGAAACCGAGATGACCCGTGTCAATAAACAAATAAGATGAGGCAAAAAGGAAGAGCGAAAAAAATAAAATAATACCAAAAAAAGGACAATAAAAGGACAATAAAAGGACAATAAAATGCATCACAGGAATCATTCGCAAGAAGCTAAACTAGAACAAGAACAACAAAACATTCATATCCCGCGTCATTCATATCATTAAGTCATTAGAGGCAGCACCAAGCCCCGTACGCGATAGATACCCTGGCTAATGCAGGACCAACTCATCAATCCGGTCCATCTCATAATACACCATTCTTGTCTGGTCTTGGAGCCGAGGACCCCTGTATCGCTTAGGCGGATCCTCTGCGCTGGAGTACCTGGCCGATCAGGCGCCGAGGGCCCATGCGTTCCAGACTTTTGACCAGCGAGTGCTGAGCGGGCAGGATCCAAGACGGACGCCGCTCGTGATGCCAGCGACGACGAATGCAGTCGTCAACTAGCGCAACTATCCCTGTTGCAACAATCACACTGTAAAAGAGCGAACCAATTCATCAGCCTCATGCCTCATCGATTTGTGCAGGGGTTCCATGGTACATTGTGCATGGTGCATGCGTTGGTGCATTGTACACGGAACACAGACCCCCTGTAGGACTCACAGAAAAAGGAAAAAGAGATACAAAAGAGGGGAAAGATACAAAGCCAGAGCCAAGGATAGAACCAGAGAAACTAGCCAGGTGGTTGAGGGGTCGAACAGGGATTCAGAATAACTTACTCGGCAACATCAGGCATCGTCTTGTAAACTTCAGGATCACTGATCCACAATGAAGAAGGTGGCACCCACCCCCCTTGCTCTCCTCCTCAACAACCTCCAGCGGAGCCAGCGTATCCGGCACCAAATGAGCAATAGTCTTAGAATTGCGCGTGTCAACCAAGAAATAAGACACTTCATGCAGATCACCCTCTTTGCGGACCTCCCTCCGCCACTGGTACTTCGTGGACCAATACTCAAACTCGTATTTCTTGGTCGAGCCGGGCCCTTTGCGGCGCAGCTCGACATGCGCATAATTCGAGAATTCGATCAAAATCGTCTCCCCGAGTATCGGCAAAGCGCTCTTTCCTTCCTTTTCCCACTCATTCTCTTCTGTCCTTCCCTTATCTACCTCATCCCCATGTCCATAACCACCCCCAAGCCTTGAATGCTGCCTCTTGAGCTCATCAGTCGGACAATGACCACCGGCCGAACCAGGCCTAAGCCCAGCGAAAACACTACTCCACGAAGTGCGCAGCGCAGGCCTTCGCTCATGAGCAGGCACAACCTCCCGCCTTGCGGAATTGCACACCTCGCGGCCCGAGTCCCGGCAGTACCGCCGGAACGAGAACTTCCGCGCGAGGAGGTCGTACATGCGCAAGTGGAAGAGGATGACGTCGCGCTGGGAGCCGTCGCGTAGGTGGACGGGCGTGCCGACGCGCAAGTTCATGTTGCCGTCGACGGTTGCATCGTCGTGGCGGATGAGCAGCCGCCGCGAGGAAGGGAAGAGCGGCGCAAAGGATGAAGGCGTTGAGGGGATGGCCTCTAGTGGATAGAATTCTAGCCGCTCATTTACGCAGTAGCGACCTTCATGGGGACTTGCAGACTCGGTTGGTTGGGGCTCCAGGTCAAGTTCGGCTGTGGAGTATGTTGTTGAGGCGTATGTTGAGGTTGAGGCGCGGGGATGCGGCTCACGACACTCATATACGACTTCGCCTTTGGTTTCGTATTTGTAGGTGTGTTTTTGGGGGGCTGGGTTGGTGGCCTCGTCGGTTTTGTGTGGCTTGGGGGTTAGTCGGTCGCTGTGGATCGTTGCTGTCGTACTTTTTGAAGATGCGCTGTCTGTCGAGCTGTAGCTGCCAGGTTGGGAGGATTTATAGGAGCCCATGGTGCTTGTAATGTTGATTTGGGTTGTGGGGTGTGTATGTATATGTATGTGTTCCACTGGTTTACAGTGAAATAAGCGAAAAAAAGGTGGAACAAGTGGATCGAAGCCAGGAGTAATATCAAATATCAGCCGTAAGTAAGCCGCAGGTGGTGTGGTTGGCCCAATAGGGTATATCAGAGCAAAAGCGATCACACCAGGCGTTTGGACCTGTGGATAGATAGTCCGGTTGATTCCGCAAGTCAAAGAGGGGTCAGATTCTCATGGGACACCGAGGTAGAATAACAGCGACAAGGGACATTAGAGTGATATCTCCAAGGTTATCATCTAGGATGATACAAGTGAAACGAGAAAGAAAATCATATGATTGAGGGAATAGGACAGGGGTGGGGGCTACCTTGTTGAGAAGCCAAAATATATAGTGGAATTGGGGGGAGAATGTGCCAGCGAGGGGAACGAGCAAAGCAGAAAAAAGGAGTTGGAGCCGGCCAACACTAGGTCAGAGAGAATGTAGAAATCTGGACTGTCACAATGTGCGAAGTATTTAGAACATTGGGGAAATGCAGAATGTTCAACTCGTCATTTTTGGGTACCCGACTCTTTGTTCTACACGATCGAGCGATTTATCCAGAGCCACACCGTTGCACCCGACTATCGCAGGCCGTGGCACAAATCGAAAGCAAAGAAAAAAGAAAAGAAAGCGAAAATCAGCCACAGATCCTGGGCTACGGGCGAATCTACCTATAAGGGGTGGGAGAACTCCTCTCTAGCGTACGATGTGCTGTATGGTGGTCCCTGTCTCTCGTCTTCATTCGTGGCTTTGCACTTCTTTTTGCTTTTTAGTCTCCGAAAGCCAGTGAGATTGCGGGGGCCTGCATTGAACTAGTCTAGACACGAGATTCCTGTACTCCATAAGAGATTAGACTTCTGCTTTGTTACGTTAGGGCTCGGGCCCTGTAGCGTCCAAGCACTTGGGAATTCTTTAGACGTTATACGTAAGGAGGACACAACGTCTAGCTTGTCAGAGACATCCCTTTATACATATACAATACCTTGGACGTTATGGGAACCTTGGAAACCGTGGGCCCCACGGTCCGTTCCGATCCATTGTGTGGTGGAGACGGTGATAGCCGACGGTATAGGAGTGCATAGGTACCTGTTGTACGTAAGATTACATATAATTTTGCTTGGTCAGAATATCATGTCATATCGAAGAGGTATCCGATCCTGCGCAGTTCGCCCTGCACGGTCAAAGAGTCGATGTCAACATTCTTCCCATCGTACGATCGCGATCAATCTAATTCTCCTAACAGCCATGTCTTGGGCCTTAGCATGACGACATATGATCAGCTAGTTTCGGTGCACAGACTTACATCTGCATCCCGGTAACGAAGGGGGTTTCTAGATCCCACTCGCATTCTTCACTTCGATTCAACTGAACACACGATGAACTCATAGTCCCCACTCACCAACAATTGATCAACATTGCATCAATGCTACGAGAAAAGATATCCCTTGACCTGAATTGCGACCGAGAAAATATGTCCAATGAGATCTACATATGACCACCTGTAGCCGAGAGACAACATGAATTACAAATCCGTGAACGTTAACCTCCAATAAATATGTCCAATCCGGAAGACAGAAGAGAAAGGGCAAGAAGGCGGGAGTTTACACCTGAGCATAGAGAGGCCGAGGGAGCTCCTCGCCGGGCTTGATCAGGGCCTCTGAATGGCAAGCTGAGTGGGAAACGAGCCCGGCGCGGCTTCCCGGAACCGGGGATCGGAAGCCCACATAGGCTTCTCGTCGGTCTTCTACTGTGATGGACCAAGTGTGCAATCCATAGTAGGATGCGATGGAGTGGACTAACCAGCGACTGAGAAGAGTCAGCAGACTGGAATAGGGTGGAGGGAAGGCTTGAAACATACCCGAATCCAGCGGCACGATCATCAGCCAGAGTCTCGAGCACCATCTTCTCACCGTCCCGCTCGCTGTGAGAGTTGATCTCCTCTCGGAGCAAGCGGAGTCTCTCCTTTCGCTCGGGCGAGTCGTGCATCTGCCCATTACGACCGACAAAGACGATCTCATCTTCCGAGTCATCACTGGTCGAGTACTCAGGAGCATCCCGCAAGCCCTCTTTCTCAAGTAGAAGCTCCCTCTCATTCCACTTTTGAATAAACGTACGGACCTCATCTTCCAGATCTCGGAGCATGCCATGCGCGGCACGCGCATGCTTCAGCTTTAACCTCAGTTCCTTCGGAATTTGATGCTTCTCATTGGCCCTCTCAGCAGCCCTCGCGGCCGACTGGTGATCCACCACATGGGAATAGTGAACGTCCCACAGGGGCGCAAGATAATAAGGCATCGGGTCATGCCGAGGATAGGTAGGCTGGACATCCCAGTCCTTTGAAGAGGGTGGTTGCGCCCAGGGGTTGTGCAAGAGACGATCTTAGTGCCTAGTCAGCATTTGCCTGCCAAACCAGCACCAAAGGCAAAAAGGTACAAGTCGGCATTCGCCGCGACCTATCTAGTGCATATACAACGTACCGTTCTCCCAGCGCTGTCTCCGACGGCTGCCATCTTTACCCTTGAGTAGAGCCTCTCGGGTCTTGAGGCCATCCCGGCGCAGAGGCTCCCGACGTCGGAAGCTGACTGTCGGAGGGCGGGACTCGGCCTTAACTCGTTGGGACGGGATCGCTTCGTCGTCGTCGAGAGGGATCGACAGCGAGACGGTGACTCCGCGCGGACCCGAACGCGTCGGAGTCGGTGTAGACGGCGTTGTCGCTGCAGGGGCTGAGTCCGATAGGGTCATATCCCGCAGGGACGCTGCTGCATGTTGCTCTGTCCATGCGGAGATGGCTATGGCTTGTTGCGGTGACAGGTGCCCTTGGGAACCCTCTGCTCGCAGGCGTGGATGGATAGCCATAATGTATGCGATATGATCTAATCAAGGCAACAAGTCTAGGAGAAAGAGGGATAAGGATAGGAATGGGCAAGTTAAGGGCCTGGGACAGATGATACGCAAGGTTGTCTGCACGGGACAACTCGCCAGACGCTGATTGGTGGTTATTGGTCACCTGATAGCCCTAGCCCTAGTTCCCTATTTGGGAATCTGAATTGACACCAGACGGTGGAGCAAATATCGAGGCTGTACGGAGTAGACACTAGCTCAAGGCTGTAGACAATAACTCTGTATCCTTATATTAGTCTTCACCATGATGTGTACATATGAGCCTTATCTCCGCATGGCGATGAGTCATAGCGCTGTCATAGTGGAGTTTGTTCTCCCATTCTCCACCTTCAATCCCCAGACTCGCCGAGTCATGTCTAGGCTTTTGGTGCTTTTGGTGCTTTATGTAGGTGCCTGTTCCCCGGGTTTGATAGTCTCGAACAAGATCCTGCGAGCCGATATGATCCGTACGTGTTAGAGATTTCATTGTTAAATGATCAACCGGATGTACCGGCAGTCCATTCTAAGAATAATATGATACAGAGCCTTAGTGTTTTAGCGCGCGGGGTCCAAAAATGGCTTGGCGCAGGGCGCGTGCCCAACACCCTGCACTTCTAGCCTTTTAAAAGAATCCTTAAACCCTCTCGACCCTTATTCTGCTTATTCTGCTTATTCTTCTTATCCTTATCATCATGAAGTTCCTCACTCTTGCGCTGAGCGCAACGGCATCTGCCATGGTCATAGTCAACCCGGAGCAACAACCTCTAGCACCTTCAATTGTTCAAAACCCTCAGTCGAAGTCTCTGATTGAGCTGGCCCCATACCGAACCCGATGGGTAACTGAAGAAGAAAAGTGGTCGCTCAAGCTGGTAAGCCAAGTTTTTTTTTGATTCGAAACTCAATGACATAGTACTAACCCCCGACCAGGACGGAGTGAACTTTATCGATGTCACCGATGAATACCAATCAGGCTCCTACGGAACCCTCCACACCACGCGGGTCGTCCACTACCCAGGGGCTATGGAGCACTCACACGAGATTCTGCCTTTGACCGAAACTCTCGACAAGAGTAACATGAGAAGCAACCTGGAACACTTCACATCCTTCCACACGCGCTACTACAAGTCGCAAACGGGAATCGAGTCAGCAACCTGGCTATTTGACCAAGTGACTGCCGCAGTGCACGAGTCTGGTGCCAGTGACCACGGCGCAACCGTCGAGCGCTTCGCTCATCCCTGGGGCCAGTTCAGCATTATTGCGCGCATTCCCGGCCAGACGGATAACACCGTCGTCCTCGGTTCCCACCAGGATAGCATCAACTTGTTCCTGCCTTCGATCCTGGCTGCTCCAGGCGCGGATGACGATGGAAGTGGAACAGTTACTATCCTCGAAGCTCTTCGCGCCCTGCTGCGGTCGGAGACTATAACCCACGGCAAAGCCCGTAACACTATCGAGTTCCACTGGTACTCTGCCGAGGAAGGTGGTTTACTCGGATCACAGGCTGTATATGCTAATTACAAGAAGAACCAGCGGAATGTCAAGGCCATGCTCCAGCAAGACATGACTGGGTATGTTCAGGGTACTCTTGATGCTGGCGAGAAGGAGTCTGTGGGTGTTATTATCGACTACGTCGACCAGGGCCTTACTGCGTTCATTAAGGAGGTTATCACCACGTACTGCGATGTGCCCTATGTCGAGACAAAGTGTGGCTATGCATGCTCTGATCATGCTTCTGCTAGTCGGTACGGATACCCCTCGGCATTTGTGATCGAGTCTCAGTTTGAGAACTCCGATAAGAGGATCCACACTACCGAGGACAAGATCGAGTATTTGAGCTTCGATCATATGCTGCAGCATGCAAAGATGAGCTTGGCTTTTGCTTACGAGCTGGCATTTGCTTCCTTCTGATCTTGTCTTGCTGGTTTACATGGATATGATGGTTCGGCGTTTTATGTGATATACCTCCGCGCTGGGTTCCCTCGTCAAGAGTACATTGAGGTTTAATCCGATGCTGTTTTTATTTTTTCTTGGGGCTTTTCCCCTACATATCCTC